ATATTATAATAACCAATAAAATAATAAAGTATATTTTTACTATATAAAAAATTTTATTTGCATATTTTGCATTTTTGATAATATTAAAATGCACATTTTTTATTTTTGCATTACACGAAACTGTGGGCTCTACCAGAGACCACAAAACTTTATTAGTTAATTTATAATAATCATGCTTTACAATACTACATATAAAAAAAGTGCTAAACTTTGAGAATGCGACATCATAGCTCAATCTTAAAATTCAAGTATCACATGAGCACTATGTCACAAACTCACTTAGCTTAATTTTGTCGAATATTTTTCTTAACATGAGATGCAACATATTTAATATCACCATCACTTAAATTTGAAATAGTTGTCACTGAAACCATTTTTATTTGTTGAATTAATACCATCTGTTGAATCTTATCATCAGTAATACGAAAAAAAAGATTATAAACTTTTCTCACTCTGTCTGATTCTTTCGAAGAGCATTTTTTGTAACTTCTTTTGGAAGCTGATCTTTAACCTCATCATAGAGCTTCTTTAGGATTTCATACTTTGCGTACGAACTTCTATAATAGGCAAGACATTTCTTTAGCTCCTCTCTATAGTAGTAATATGTTTCAATAAGTTTATGGTATACCTTTTCCTTTCATTTCTCAGCATTGAAGATTTTAAATATAGGTTAAAAAGAGTTCAATCAATTTTAACTTCCAGTACAGCTTCTCTTTGGAGTCCTCTCCTTTCCTTAATTTCAGAAAGTCAAGTAGTATCAGAAGATAACTCTCAAATAAGCTTATTTAAAATATTAAAGTCTTCTAGCTGAACATGTTTCTTAGATTTCTTACTGGTTGAAGATTCTGTAGCATTGTTAGCCCTTTTCTTACCCTTACCGCTAGAGGAAGTTTTCTCAGATTGAGTCGATTCTAAAGGAACCATTTCAACTTCTTCATTCTCATCATTTTTTTCCTCATCTATACTCATTTCTTCTTTCTCTTCACGCTATTTTATATCATTGGCTGATGAACAGAGAGGACACAGTTTGCGTGAACTGTCAATGCAATAGTAATGCACAATATGCTTGCAGGTTAAGTATATAAGTAGTTTGGAGGAAGCTTGAGGTAAAGCTTGAGAAGGGATTTGAAGAAAGCCTATAGGTGGAAGACACGAAGAAAGGTTTTCAGAATATTTAGCGCATCTTAAATAACTTCTAGCTTGTTAAAATTCTGTATTCTCAATTCTCTCCATCCGTATAGTTGGTGAAGATAGAATAAATCTTTCGCTCATCATGTTGGATAAAGCTGAAATTGGCGACTCTTGATTAGTAGTAGAAAATGGTTCTATGATATCAACATTCTTTTCACAATCAGAAAATAAACATGTATTTAGCATGGTTAGTAGAAGCTTTTTCTCATTGCATATCCTGTAAAAGGTGTGGTCACAGCTGAGAATAGTAATCACCTTCAGAGGTCATGTTAAAATTTCATTATTACATTCTGAACATTGGTCTAGCTCTGGAATTTCTTTATCCATGACGATATCATCTTCAAGATTTTTTAAGATATTATAAGTAAGCTTCATATGATTGTCAAGAGACAATTCGCCAGATTTTAGAGTTTTGCTTTTTTCTCAGTGTCTTACTTCGTGTCAAGCCTGTCATATTGGATATACTAGCTTTGCTAATACTTCTTGTCAGCATAATTCATCTGGCCTGTTTTATAGCACTTGTAAATTCAGCGGGAAAAAGCATATTCAGATCTTCACTAGCAATTACGCACTGCATTTCATCACTTTGTTAATCCAGTCCTTTTAGAACTATCTCTCTGCAAATCAATAAAAATGACAAATGATTAGCATAGATATTCCCAAATTCCATATGCAAAATATTGATTGCTCCAAAAAATACCTATATTTGAATATTGTTTTGTTAGTATAATAGTAGCGTGAAAGATATAATAAAATTGTAAATTGAGTCAGAAAAAAAATAATGTGAAATATATATGCAATTTACATGTCACACAGCTCTATTCTTCAGCAAGAATTTTACTAAATATCTTCTGCGCATTTTAAGTGATCAGATTTAGAATACCGCAGTCTCTTTTGTATAAGCTACCCACGTGATTCAAAAAAAAATAACCTATACGATAATTCAGTCTATGCGAATATATGATTTTGCTTGATAATTCTCCTAAGTGGTTATCAGAGAGATAATGGGACTTATAATTAAGGAGGTATTTCTTTTGTATCTTCTATCACGATAATAGTAACCTCTATCACATTTACCATATTCATTTCTTTCATACGACGTTTCTTAGATACAGATTTGTCACTGTCATCTAAATTCTCTTCACTTTCTTATGTAATTCAGTTGGATTCTCAAGTGTTTTCTATTAATACTCAATCCTGCTCATACTATAGATGCCCTTAGTGTTATGAAGTACCAGTACTGACTATACTATAGATATAATCATAGTCAGCATCGAATGCCTCGTCAGTCTTTCAATTTCCCTTACAGTAATCATATTTTAAAAGTTCATCTGAAAGTTGATAAAATGATAAGTGATACATATTACGTCATTATAGTAATAGGTCTATTATAAAGCTAACCAATTAATACTATATAAATGTAACATAAGATTTTTCTTTTAATAATTATATCATATATATCACTTTTCGCACTTTAGTATTATGATATTATGGATGTTATGGTCGGCTGACTATTCCAGTGACAAATAACATGTAACGAATAAGTTTTTTACTTTGTGAAATTATCCAAAAAATAAATAGTAATTATGCTTCACCATCTAAGTGTGATAGGGTGATAAATAATACAGATCTTACCCATATAAGTTAATCTGTCACACATTTCAGATGTGCTCACTTCCTTAACTCATGTAATTAAAACACTTTCACGTAAAAACACGTACATCCACATGACTTCTTATATTTTAAAAGTGTTCTTATCCTAGACCCCTTCAGGGTAAAAATTATAGATCCTCAGGGTCTAGGCAAATTAACTTAGACCTTCCTCCTTTTTTAATAATTCCAAAATTGGTAGATAAATTAAAATTTTTTTTTTTTAAAAATGAGACAAAAAATGAAACTAATTTAATAAATAAAATTAAAAACAAGAACGAATAGCTTTACTTAAAATTTTTGGATAATACTGTAGATAAAATATTGATACTTTAATGAAATTAAAAGACAAGACTTCATATTTATCGCTTATATATAGTACTAAATATATTTATTAAAAACTTTAGCGGGATTAAGGATAATTTTGCATTTAACATTTATGGATAGTACTAAAGATAATATATATTAGTAAGTTATAATATTTTAATAGTAAGTAAGAGCAGTCTTTTTAAAAGAGCAATTAAAGCATTTTTTACTTAATTCCTATTAAAGAAAGTATTTAAATTAGTTTTCTAAAGAAAAATTTGTTTGTTTATTTACATAAAAATATGTTAACACTTTCATTATTTTATTTATATAGTTTTGTTTTTGAAATATTTTATGTTTCTTTTAAAATTAAAAAATTACATTATATAGAAATTATTGTATATATGCATTATATTTTATTTTTTTTTACTTAATAAATGTATATTTTTTTTAATTAAATAATAAACTACAAATTATCTTAAAATTATTATTATTATTATATTTTTTTTTTATATAATAACTTGTAATCTGATAGCAATAATATTAAAACAAATATTTTACATTTTTTAAATAATTAGTTAAGCAAATATAAAAATCTTCAAAATTTTTTAATTTTAATTTTCACAATTATCATCATGAATATATAAACTAAAATCAACACTATCAATCATTATTTCTTTTATATCATTTAAAGAAATACCTTTATAATCCTCTGCAATAAGTCTAATAGCAGTTTCAGAAACCAAAACTTGAGATAAGTATTGGGATGAAGATTGCGGAATATAAAGATCTACAGTTAGTATTTCAGTTTGAATAAATAATTCAGTTAAAATTTTTTAAGATAATCGCTAAGCTCTTAAGTCTATAATATTCAGGCTAAAAAAATATAATTAATTAAATTATTTCATATTTTTAAATAAAAATATATTTCTGATTTATACTTACTTGTAAAGATTCAAAATAATTAATTTGAATAATAAATTGTTGACTTTTGATAATCCTATTTCTTGAATTCTTTTAATTGCATTTACGTAATATTCACTATATTTTTGTCTTTTTATAATTTTTAGTAATTCTAATTTCAAATTTGTAATCCGATTAGATAAATTTGCAAAATTTATATATAATAGAAATCCTTTTCTATTTCCATAAGGAATAATTATTTTTTCTCCTTTATAAACTTGACAAAACTCATATTGTTCAATTATAGTATTGTCAGATACTATAATATAAGTTTAAAATTAGACTATATTATATTATTAAAAGGCATTTATATAAAATTTAATATAATATATACTTTTTCCTATTAAAATATTATTTAAATATTCTGATACTTTTAATAGTAATGGATTTGATAATGTTTCATTACAATATAAACAATTATTATTATTTTGATATATTTCTAAATAATTATTAATAAAATAATATATTAGAATAAAATATTTTTCATTAAATATAAATATAAATACACTTACCTAAGTTTGATTTATTAGAAAAAACATTAGATTCAAAAAACTGTGGATATTGAGTAGTAGGTGGAGAAGATAAATTTTAAATTTCATTTAATGGTTGTGTTACTGTATTTTGTGCTATATAAGTAGATTCATATTATCTAAATTAATTATAAATTCTAATATATTATTATTGGTATTTTCGTCAATTTTCTTCTTTTTTTTTAGTTTTTCTAGCTGATTCTCCTACACTGGTGATTCTTTTATTAGATGGTCATCCTTTTTCATGAATGATTAATGGATTTTTTACTGTTGGTATAATATTTGAATTATTAGATTGTATTTGTGTTCCTTTTTCAATTTCAGAAACAAATACTTCATTAAAAGAAGTATAAAAAGTTATAGTCGATATAGGATATTGTGTTACAAATCGTTGTATTTTTTGTAATAATCGAGTAAGCATATATTGATAATCTTGATTATCATTAGATAAAGTTATTGTTGATTCTTATAAAGTCATTAATGATTCTTGTAAAATTGTAATTGTATTTGAATATAATCTAATATAATTATTAATAAGTTCCTTTTTACTTGAAATTTTTCTCTATCTTTCATAAAAAAGGCTAATTGGAAGTTTGTTCAAATTTAGTTGTATTGCAACTCTTAAAATATACTGACATATAAAACCTGAAAATTGAGTATATTCACATGTATATGTGAAATAATTAGAATTAGAATCATATTTCACTATTCATCCATTTATTTCTTTTTCATATCTTTGAACTTGAAAAATTATTTCAAAATTATTTGTTTGGCTATTTATATTTAAAAAAAAATAATCTTTAATAAAATATATAATTAAAATTATAAAATTCTATTAAAATATATTACCTTGAAATTTTTTTACATTTATACATAAATGATTGTATCAATTGTTCTTGAGTTTTTTTTAAAGAAAAGTAATTAAAATAGATGCTATTTGACATTCAAATGGATTTGTAGTTTTGTATATAATATTGTAATTATTTTATTGATATATACGAAATTCAGTTTTTTCATTTTGTGTATCTAAAGCTGATTAAAATGCCGTAATAAATATCAAAAGTGATATACTTGCATCTAAATAGCCTTTCATCATATTATTCATAGATTTTTCATGTTGAATTGTAATCATATTTGTCATAAAAATATTATGATTTAACATGCAGCTCATTTTTCTTTTGTCTTTTTCATTTGTAATAAATAAGTTGATGCAGCTGGATAACATGTTTTAAGTGAATCCCATTGAGAAAGAAAACTTGAAATATTCATTTTTTCAAGACATTTATAAAGTTCTTTAATGAATGTTGACCAATTTATACTAAGCTTTACATATAAATTTTTTATTACATTTTTCATTAAATGCCATTGACATAAATGATGTTTTGTGTCAAATGATTGTAAAATTTTTGGGTAAGCATTTGCCATTATACAATCATTATCAGTAAGAATAACCAATGGTACATGTTGATTGACTATTTCAAGAAATTTACTAAATACCCATATAAAATTATCTTCTGTTTCATCAATTATTAATGCATCAGCAAAACACACGCTATATCCATAATTATTTACTCTAGTAAAAATTCCAAATAGAATTTGAAAATGATTGGTTTTATAAGTATTATCAAATACTACAATATTATTAAATCTACTATAATTCATTCGTTATTAAGGAAACATTCATATTACTCATTTCAATCTTTTTATTATTATTAATATCAGTATAATAAAAGAATTCTGCATTATTATATTTAAGTTGTTCTAATATTTTTATAAATTCTTCAGTATCAAAATTTTTTTTTCTGAACTAGAAACTTTAAATTGATAAATAAAATTATAAATATCATTATATACACATGTAACATAATTACCAAACTCTTCTTTTAAAATTGTACGTATAGTGAGAATATCTACACCAGCATAATGTAATAATTCTATTCGTTGTTTAACATCATCAGGAATACTCTGTTCATTAGATATAAAAAATTGATAATTTTCATTAATCATTTGATAATTATGAATAAGATTCATATTAATTATATACTATAAACCATTAGAATTATTAAAAGAAGCACGAATATAAAAAAACAACCACATCGTTGAGATTTTTGATTTTGTTCTTTGTTAATTAAATTTTCATCTTCTGAGTCATATTCTTTTGATCCAGAATAACCAGCTCGAGAATATAATAATGTTCTTTTTCAAATTTTTTTTTCTGTAATTTCTTCTTTTTCTTTAGAAATTTTTTTAGAATTTTGATTTTTGGTAATATTTAAATATTCAACTTTTTCAAGTCTAATAATAAAATCAAGTTTATGTGCATAATCTTTGATTTTATTAACAAACTCATCATAACTCTTGAATATGTTATTAACTTGAGGTTGATAAATTTGAATAGAAGTCTGAACTTCAGATATAGTTTTTGTGATACAAAAAAAATTTACTATATAAACAGTATAAAAAAACATTAACCCGAAATTTTTATTGCAACTCGAAAATATGAATAAAGGTAAAAAAAATTTATTATGATATAAATATAAATATATGCAGATCATGTATTAATATAGAATTTCTAAATTAAGTTACAGATCTATATTAACCAGTCTGAACCCTGGGGGTCTAGGATAAGCAATTTGAACTTCCCAGTCTAAGTTAAGTTTTCTCAAATCTAAATTCATAAGGAAAACACATAACGTTATATACAATTTTAACCAATTAAATTTTATTTGCAGTTGTTAAAAGAAATGCATTTTTTTTTATAGTAATACAGGTAGGAAATAAAACTTCAAAAATTGGAATTGCTTTTAATTTACTTGTTCTAATAAATAATTTATAGTCTAATAACCTTTTTGATTTTTTCAAGAATTAAATAAACAAAAGCTTGTTATGAAATATTAGGGTAATTTTCAATTACTTGAGTATTTAATTTAAGCCGTTTACATGCTTCTGTTAAAAATTCATTTATCATAATTGATTAATCATTCCTTTTTTTTTCATAATACTATTATTTGTTTTTGCTTATATCCCATGTTTATCATCATTAGAATAAAAATACACTTGTCATATATTATTAAAATATGTTCTTTTTCATTATTTTGAAGATTTGGTAAGATTTTATTTATTGTTTATCCTTTATAAATTGTCATATTGGCTCTTTGTAATAGAAAGAAAGGAAACTACCAAAAAAAATTTTTTTTGTTTTATAAGCTAAATATTATATTTTTAATAAAATAAGTTCAGATTTAATATTAACTCAAAAAAAAAATTTTTTTGGTAGTTTCCTCCTTTTCTATTACAAAGAATCCATATATAATTCATATTTAACCATTTTTTCTAAAAACATTTTTCAATATTTTACTATATCTTCTCTTTCATGTCTATCAAAATATATTTCTTATTTTATTGTTGATGAAAAATCTAATATATTCAACTATTTTTTTGCTATAGAATCAAAAATAGATTTTATTTAGTAATTCCAATTTTTTTGTAAAAGAGTTTATTAATAAATTCTTTAAACTTTATTAATATTATATGTTTTTCTTAATTACAAATTTAAGTTTAATATTTTGCTGCTATATCTTTATCATCAATTAATCAAATAATTTTTTAATATTTATCTTGAAAAGTTAGTGAGAGTTGAAAATGTTGAAGTCAATATTTTGTCTAAACTTTAATATATCATATTTTATATAGTCAACTATCAAACAAATTTTGATATTATCAAAAAATTATTTAAAATTTGCAGCTTTAATACTTGTTTTTATTAATTCTTTTTCATTTTCTTTAACCTGTTCTAACATTTTAAATATTGGTCTTTTTTTATTATATTTAAATTACTAACATTTTGTATTGATTTTTCTTTAATTTTTCCTTTAGATCTTTAATTTTAACTTCAATTTTTTTAAAGTTTCATCTATCATCATCTATAAAAATTTTTTTAATATCAATTTTCATCATTTTTTTTATTTTAGGTTGAAAAATTTTATTAATTTTGATGTATCTTCTGCAACTTTACTCTATTTTCCACTTGGTCTATAATTATCATAAAATATATAAATTTTTTAATTAAATATAATCCACATAATTTTTTTTTTAAATAAGCATTTTTTTTCATATTGATTCTAATTCTAAAAGTCTTTTATAATTAATTTTTTTTAATATTAAATCTATATCTTCTTTTTATTTACTATTATCATTAATGTTTATTTATTTAATATTAATTTTTACTTATAGTATTATATAGATTATAATTATAAAAAAAGTAAGCAATATATTTATAGTTATTAGAACAATTTATATTTTTTGAATAAACATTATTTTTAAGTATATTATACTATTTTTAAATTAAACAATCCTTAAAAATAAATAACTATCAAATAAATAAAAATTGAAAATAAATAACTTATAAATTTCTGTAATAAACTATAAAAAAATATTAATAATAGATTAAATATAATTAATAAATTTAATTTTTTAATTATTTATATTATTATAAAATTTTTTTTTTTATTATATTACTATATATTATAAATTATATTTATTCATTGATATTAGTATTATTATTATTATTTATATTACTATTGATGTCTTATTATTATTAATATTATTTATATTGTCACAGATTTATTTTTAGTTATTTTAGCGTCTAAGTTGAAAAATAGTGGTAATTGACTCTACATGTTAGAGTTTCTAACCTTAGAATTTTTTCTAAGTCTTACAGGTATCTGTTATACTTAAATCAACTTAGCAATTTATTATGTTTTAGAATTTAAGATATATTTAATTGAACTCATAATGACAAACTTAATAGTAAGATAATATAGAGTATCACAATAAATTCTAAATGAGGAATAATATTAAAAAGAAAGTAATTTGTATAAATTTAAATTGATTTCTTTATTTATAATATTGAAACTCATAAAAGAGTTAATTAACTTATAATTGAATTAATTTACAACTTGAACAAAAAGCTATTCTATTTATAAAATTAATTTACTATGACTAATTACTTGTTACATTATAAATTAACTATTTTAGTAAACTTCAGCTATAAAATAATAATAAAAGAAAATATAAATACAAGATAAATTATAATGATGATTAAAATAAAAAAATAATAAAAATAATAATTATAATAAAAATAATAAATATGTAAAGAATTTAATAAAATAAGCCAATCAAATAAATCAGGTGAATCAGATGAATTTTATAAATCCTACAAATCAGATAAATTAATCTAATTTTTTAATGCAATATGTCAATCAAGATCTTCTTTAATATAATCTATATAAAATTAAATCTAATGATATTTGTAAATCAATGAATTAATCAGCTAATTTATCTAAAGTTAATATTTTATAAGTTTTATAAAATTTTATAATCATTTCATCTAAAATTTCTTCTTAAGCATATTTTAAATTTAAAATTTACAAATGTAATATTCTTGAATTCAATAATTTTAATAAGACCTATATCTGCTTAATGTATTTCTGCTAGTTATCATTAAAAGAATTTGTTTATAAATTAATTTTTATTTATTCAAGAATCATCATTTGTTTTTTCATTATTATTCATCTTTATTATTATTTTTTAATTTAATTTTTATTAATTTTCTTCTTTATATTTCTTTATTCTTTCTTTTATTATTATTCTAAAATCTTTTTCTTCATTATTCTTGAATTTTACTATATCTTTTTATTTCTTCTTTAATAAAGTTTCTTATTTTCATAAATAATATTTTTTTAAATTATTTAATTTTTTATTTTCTGTTAAACTTCAAATCTATTTCTATTTTTACTCATTATTATTTTCTCATTAATGTTATTCTTCTTCAGTATTTTTCATTAATATTAATTTAAATTCTTTTCTATTGTTAGCTTTATAATATATAAAATTATTATCTTTCCTATTTCTTCTTTTTTATTACTTCAATATTTCTTGATTATTATTTCATATTTATTTTTTCTATAATTCTTTAATTTTTATTTATTTATTATTTTATTTCTATTAATATATTTCTTCTTTTCTTTTTCAGTTAATATTTTCTTCTTCTCTTTTTATGTTCTTTATATATTTTATATTTTATTTTTTATAGTGTTATCTTTTTTTTAATTTATTATAATATAATTTTATTTCTTATTTTGTATTCTTTTAAGTTTTATTTTAGACCTTTTATTTAATTATTTTAAATTTATCATTTTAATGAGTTTCTTTCCATTGTAATTAATATTTTTCTTTTATAAATTATTTAAATATTAGTTTACTTATAAATATATTATCTAATTATATATTATTTAAAAATATTATTTTATAAATTAATAAATATATTAAGAATTAGAACAAACCTATTATTCCTTTCTAAATATTAAATTTATGCATAATTATTTTTTTATTAATTATAAGATTACTATTATCAATCAGTGGTCATGTCAGGATTAGGCAAATCACTTGTCGATCACTAATTAAAATTTTGTGTAACATTAATAAT